GTAGGCAGTCAAGATGGAGTGAATCTGACAGACGAGCTATGTGGTGAGCTGCATGATCTTATTTTATTTGTTTTGGTACCGGGAATCGAACTCATGACCTCAGGTTTGCCAGTGCATGATCTTATTTTGTCCTAATATGGTGTCAGACGATTAGTTGATTTTTAAGTTTTAAAAAGTTTCATCACAGTACCTCACATATGTGGAGTTACACGGTATTTGTCCTTGTATGTTGCTTAGATCCCTTTGAGCTTAATGACTGTGTCCTAACGTGGAGGGGAGAGAAAGGAAGTCTCTCAGGCCTCTTCCCTTCTCGTAAAACCCTGATCACAGTACAGAGGCTCCATCTTCATGACCCTCACCTAAAGTGAACTCCTTGCAGGGCGCGGTGGCGCACACCTGTAATCCCAGCACTCAGGAGGCTGAGGCAGGAGGATCACTCGAGTTCGAGGTCTGCCTGGGCTACACAGTGAGTTCAAGGCCAGCCTGAACTGTAGAGTGAAACCCTGTCTCAAAAAGAAAGAAAAAAAAATTCAGGGTATGAGGAGGTGCTTAGTGTGGAGCACAAATCAGATGCAGCCAGCGCAAATACTCACTGGATTTTTAGTTAAGGCTGGCCAACCTAAACTTCGGATTTCGTTATGAACAGTCAAGAATTTTACACTGTGATATGCAGGATTTGTAGTAGAGTATTTTAAAGGGATTTAAAAAAATTATTACTACGTGTTTATGATACATAATGAATACATTCAAAGACAAGATTTTAGAAGTTCTCCTATACAGATACTAACAATATTTGAAAAAGTTATTCCACACCAATCTGGTTGTTGGCTATGAAAGACTTTTTCAGAATTTGTATGAGTTTTCCATCAAGAAGTTTGAATTACATGAAATAAAATAAATAAATACAAAATAAAATAAAAGTGAATTCCTTCCCAATGCCCCAGCTCCCAACAGTCAGAGCATTCAACCCATCACACCATTTTTTCTTCTATTTATTTATTTTAAAATAGTATTTTCCAGACTGGATATTAATAATAAAAACTGTGAAATAAATACA